CCCAGCCAGCCCAGGCCCACGACCTCCACGACCCAGGCCCCACGACCTCCACGACCCCACGCCCCACGGCCCCACGACCCCACGGCCTCCAGGCCCCAGACCTCAGACCCCAGCCCCTAGGTCCCAGGCCCCAGACCTCAGATCTCAGACCTCAGTCCACAGCACCCAGTCCCAAGGCCCCAGGACCCATATAGGAGCTGGTTGGTGCTTCCCCTGGGGCGTTTGGGAAACAGTTGGGCATCCAGGGCCACACTGGGGTGCGTTCATTGTCCGTGCAAACAAGAGTGTACTGTGCTTGCTTAGGAGACCAGCGGGAGGAAGAGGTGGAACCAGGGCCCTGAGAGGGCCAGGCCGGGTCAGCCTTGCACAGCAAGTCCTTGCATCGAGCTGCAGGGACACAAAGTGTCACCTTGAGCCACTGTCTCTGGGCCTCACTGTGATCACAGACGATTTAGGTTTCTCTTGAAGGTGGGACTGACTTCCCTGCACATCTTTCCATCCCAGGCTCAGCTGCCTAAAAGGCCCCACTTGTGCAGACGTGCTCGGGGAAGCTGCTGTGCCCTGGGCTGGTCCTGCTGTCCAGCTGTGAGCCTCTGTCCCCTCATCTACGACCCTGGACCGACAGTCCCCATCTCAGGGTTGCTATGGAAGCTGTGCAGGAAAAGGAAGTCAAATGCCCTGAGTGTCCGTGGGTCACATGGGTAAGTATCAGAGCATTTGTTTTTTCACCTCTTGCTCATCCATGTATCTCCCTCGGGACCTGTGACACTGTTCTGTATGCAGTAGGTGCTCAATATGTGTTGCTTGGCTTGATTTGAATGAAAAAAAGCTGAGGATGTACACAGAGGCGTGGTGATTATCTTGGCTGTTTTCAAATGGCTGGCCCTGTGAGAGCTTCCATCACCCCCGGTGTCATCCTCGTCCTAGGGGAGGCGCCGCCCAGCCCAGGGAGGCACCTAGATCAGACCGGGGATGGACCAGGGCCTCGGGAGAGGCTGGAAGTGCTGGGAACGATGCTTGGAGCCCCTTCCCCCAGAGGGGCCATGTGGGCTTAGCACGTGTTGGGGGGGGGGTCCCTGCAGGGGCTAACTGGGAAATAGGTGCATGAGGGCCTGGCCTCACCCCCAAAAAGGGAGCCGACTTCAGCCTCCTGGAACCCCCCGTTAACTTGGGGGAAAGAATAAGTGCTTAAATGTTCACTTAAAAAATGTAGTCGCATGTCTTCAATCTAAGGGGCAGATCAATTACTTCTAAATTTACAAGTGAAGATGAAAGTTCTGAGGAGAAAGTGTTCACAAGTCCACAATGGGTCCGACTGATGGAGCCACTTACAGCTGGCCCAGAACCGCCCGCGTGGCTCCCAGACGGTTTCCATGACATTTTGCTGAACTTCCACATTTATCTGGGGAGCCTTTCCCAACAGGTGTCAGTAACAATACGATCTTTCTGTTCAGTCCTCCCCTGAGAGCTAACTGGATCTGAAGGACCACCCCAATACTGCCCTGCGCTGTCCCAGCAACTGAACTCGTGAGTGCTCCAAGTTCAGGCACGTGCTCTAAAATCCACAGCACCCAGCTAACACTGCAGCTCTGTTCCTTTGATTTCTGAGTCCACACTGCCAGCTTTCAGAAAAGCAACCATCCACAGGCAATAATATTTACCTGATGAAACCCCACACCGCAGACCCACAGAACGAGCCCTTCAGATCGGCTCGCCTTTTAAGGAGTACACACTTTGGATTTTCCAAACCCAAGACTCCAGAGAGCACACGCAACACCGCCATTTTCACTGCAACCCAGTTAAGGCTGCAACCCTTACCCGTTTGGGCTATATATTTACCTTCCCGTTTCTGAAGCATCAGTTGTAGCTTATTTCCACTTACGCCACCTGAAGGGATGGAAATAGAAACCGTTTCTGGGTTGCACTGAGCCCTTAAATTTCTCAAATGCAAAACTCAGAAGTGCAAAAAAAATCACAAAAAAGAGCTTGCTTTGGCGACTTGGTAGTGTTACAATGGTTAATGCTTGTTGGCATTTCCTGTTGTGTGGGAAAAGCAATTCGGGCTGCCCGTGGCTCAAACTGCTGACCAGGACCACGGCTGACCGGGGCCATCTGAGCCTCTTGAGCCAATCTGAGCTCTTCCCTAGAAAGAGTGACACTGACCTTTCAGCCCTTCGGTCACAATATTTGGGCAGCCACCTGTCACACATACCTGCCTGTAGATGACTTCATTGTCCAGCTGATTGAATTGTGTCCCCCCAAATGCATATCTATCCAGAACCTCTTAACGTTAACTTATTTGGAAGCAGGGTCTTTGCAGATGTAATGAGTTAAGGATCTGGAGGGGCTAAGACACCGAATTCAGGGTGGGCTCTAAATCCAGGGACCGGAAAACGCCTCAGTGCTCTAAAAGTTCAGTCCCATTTTGTAGCTTATCCTGATTGGCTTATAATCGGGCATCACTTAATACTGTTTGCTGCTGTTTTCATTCAGATCTGAAAGTGTTTCCAACCTGCCCAATCATTTCATGGGAAATGACGAGTCTGACCTGATAGCCCCTCCGCCCGGGGAGCTGGTTTGAGGACCTGTGGGGGCATCTGATCGCACCTGCAGTGTTAGGTAGGCAGGTCTGTCTGCCTGCCATCAGAGCGCGTTACAGCTGACAGAGGAAACGTGGCCTGATGCTGAGACAGACGTTAGGTTTAGGCATTTGTGATGAAGCTGCCATTTCTCACAGCAAATGTGTGTCACTACGGCCCCAGAGATAAACGTCTCACCAAATTCAGCCATACAACTGAAAAGCGTGGCTAAGCCCTAAATTATGGATTGGTGATGCCACCGTGCCAGTTACTACACATGGAGTTGTAAATATTAATGCATCGAATTGGACAGCATGCCCCGTGTATCTGAAGAAAGGAATAAACAACAAAAGAAGAGCTGTGATTTTTTCCCCCAGTAGTACTGTGGATTTTTTGACCCCAACAGCCCCAGTCACTATTTCTAGGCTGTGATAAAAGGCACTCCTGAGTTGATCAAATACAGTTACCTGGTGCCAGCTCTCAGAGTGGGATCAGAGTGGCAGGATGCCCCTCTGAAGTTCTTAACAAATTGATCTTTTTCCATTAAATGCTTCTGGGCATCAGAGACAGCCCCCTTGGGGACTCTACATAGAGATAAAAATTCTTCACTTTGGGTCCTAAGAACTCTCACGTGTCTGCTCAATGATGATAGTATTTTAACTGACTCCCATCATTACATGCTTGGTAGAAATGAAATAAAATTCCTGAAAAGGGGTGGCTCATAGCCGATACTCACTTTATTCAGATGTGCTTCTTAAAAAAAGCAAAACAAAACAAAACCCGGGAAGAGCAAAGGGGGAGGTGCTAAATCACTGATGCGAAATGATCCCCTGGCCTCCCCTGCGGTCCCAGATCAGACCAGCCTCACCCTCCCCACTCCACCCCTCCCTACTGTTCCTGCGCCCCCAGGGCCGACCTGCCTGGGGCCTCCTACTGCGCCTCCCTGTCAGCTGTTTGGCATCCCCTACCTGTGCCAAAGACCCAAAGTACTGAAGCCAACAGCCAAGGGAGTCTAGCATTTCCACCACCGTGTGGCAGCGGCTGCTCTGAGCTGGGAAGTGCACCAGCCTGGGGTCTTGGGAAGTCACCCCCCTCCTTCCAGCCCTGGCGCCTCCGCAGCAGATCTGGGGTCACCACACCACACGGCCTCTCATCCTGAGCATCAGAGGAGCTCTTGCCTGCAGGAGGCCACCCGTGAGCCATGAAGGGTGGTCCTCAGGTGGGGTCTGTGGGCTCTCAGGGTTCGAAAGCCTGCATACCCACCCACTTCGTTTGCAGCCTGTGTGTGAATGTGCCCATTTTGTAAAGAACAAAACCGGGATTTTTCAACCCATTCATAGAGGGCTCCGAGAAGTAGAGAAGGTTCAGCCTTTCTCCTTTAAGAACTTTTCCCCAACTGGGAGGTAAGGCCTGCTAGCAGCTTTGCAGACCTGGAACTTGACCGAGTGGAAGCCAGAGGAACAGATTGCCTGGACGGGACCCTAGGGGTGGTCCTTTGGCTGAGCTCAGTCCTGGGCGCACCACCCGCCTCCAGCTCCCGCAGCGCCCTGCACCTCGCGTTCCGCCTCCTTTCACAAGGTTACCGCACACATCTGAGACCCTGCCCTGGACTCTGGACTCTGCCCCAGCACGCCACTTCTCACGGTGCAAGGGCAGATCGCAAGACCCCTTTTACCCCTTGGCCTTTGCCCGGGCTCAGGATGGGTGCCTAGGCCTCCACGTCCTCACAGACCCCCTCCCCAGGGCGCCCTGGCATCTCTCCCTTACCTGGCCCCAGGCACAGCAGCAGGAGTAGAGCCAGCGCGGTCATGACCAGGACGGCGGGCGGCGCGGAGGAGGCGGACATGGCTGCACCGGGTGGGCAGGAAGGAGGCGCGCGCGGCAGCCGCTGAGCCGAGAGAAACAGGCGCGGCAGGATCGGGCGCAAGTAGGACCGCGCGGCGGGAGC